TTACCATTAGACAGCGTTTGACAGATCGCAAATCGAGCTAGAAGGTTGCATATTACAATGCTTCCAGGTTTAAAAAAATTATTGCATCTCATAAGAAGTTACTGAACATGATTCTGATATTGAAACAAAATCTTGTATTCTGATAATGTATCAGAGTAACACCGTAACCCTCATAAACTCGGAAATGGAGTAAAATCATATTTCGTGATATCTCAGAAATAAAAGAAAATGCCACATCTTCCGTGACATGAGTGGCAAAATCAAGTCTTTACTGCATATCTGGTAGCTACGACAGACTTCAACAATAATTTCAAACAGGCGTGCAAAAAGATTGATTTTTGGTCGCTGCCTCAAAGGTTAAATAGCAAAATATCCTATACTCAAGGTCAATAGTATTGATCAACTCAACTGACGCACAGAAAAGCAAGAAACGAATGCAAGGAGAAAAGAAAACTGTAGCTCGGAAAACTGAGCTTTATATGGCACTAGTTAAGAACAAGTATATACTCACCGTATCAATATTTATAGACGGGAACATGTTCTGTATGAACGTCTCCACCAAAAGCAGATGCTTCTTACCACTCTGAAAACAATTGCAATATTGCAAAACGGATAGTCAAGAGATTTTTTGTACCTGGTTGAAGCCATTCATCACGACTAGGGGAGGCTTATCGAATAGTTTTTGATGAATCAGCGGCCTTTTCTGGGTGGAAAGTATGTGCCGCGACAAGGAATATTCAGGCACTAAAATAGAAAAGCAATTCAGGGATGTAAGGTGCACAGTGTAGAAAATTATAAGCATCACCTCGAAAAGTAAGTGTTGGTCCCTGACTGAACCGCATCATTCTAAGTTGCACAGATGTTTCGCTAGTAGTCAGAACCATCATGTTTGTCACGCCCAGAACGGCGCCATGAATTACAAAATCTTTGATGTTGTTACGTTTCATAATCTGAATGAATTAACAATAAAGGTGTGTTCGCAAAAAAAAATCCTAACTAACCTTCAGATGCTTAGCGGTAAAAGGATCCATGATTTGCCGAATATCGTGCTCTAAAGCTCTGACATATTTCCCGACAACACCTCGATGGATCACAAACGAATGAGGCTGCCTGAATCGTGATTTGCACAATAGCTAGAAGATAGGATTTCAAATCAGCGCTTATTGTTGAGAAAGGACAGAGTACACGCGATTTCATCGTAGCGATTTATCGCCAAAGACAAGTA